GCTCAAAAAAAAAGCTGTGTCTTTATTGCACGAGTGGGTAAAATACATTTCAACTGTTAACATCACAAATAATTTCAAAACACTTCCTTCAACATTTGTTTTACTTTTTGAAAAATTGCTAATTATCTCTTTTGAAAACCATCGTGCTGTTTTTTCATCCAAAATCCATGCAGACACATCATGCTACAACATCGCTTTACTTGCGCAATGTAATCTTTACGCTCACCACCATTCGGAAAACTTTTGGTTCTACTGGCTAAACAATGCGGCATTCTGGTTGGTTAATGGCCTTGCCCATCTAGTCGAAGGACATATGCCGGTTCATTAAATGTAAGCGTTTTGGGAGCTCATAGTACAATGTCCAATTTTAAGAAATATTGCTATATTTATTAAATAAAAAATAAACAAACAGTTATTTAATCATTCAATAATAATAATGGTGACATTCTTTGTGAAATATAGACAAATAATATCTTGACTTGATTAAAAAAAAGTGTGACCAAGCTCATTCTCATTATTAACTCGTTAATATTCATGAGAAACCGGCACTCCAGTTGGGCTGGTGTGATCCCTGCATATGTAAACAATTATGATACTTGTCTCTTTGGTCCCTGGCAAGTGCCATATGCAATCCCTGGCAGGATTTTGATTTTACTCTGTGTGTACCATGAATAGTATACATCCTTTAATAATATGTATTTTTTTTCATTTCAGAGTGCAGAAGACATTCATGATCATGATATGATGAAAAAAGATAGAATTTATAAAATGCAGCTGGACACTGTCATGAAGGAATATGCTTCTGAAATCAATAAAGCCTCTTTGGATGGTGAGAATAGTTTATTTTTTGTTTGTTTATTTTATCAATTTATATATTTATTTGTTGGTATTTACTCTTATTTATTATTTACCAATTGTAGATGATGGTGATGGATCACAAAAGAAAAGGAAAATGAAAGAAAAGGATAAAAAAGAAGACGTAAGCATTTCCATTTAATGAAAGCTATTTATTTACAAAATACACAACTTGCATATTCCTCCAACCCCCTTAGTGCATTTGAAGGTAATATATACATTCCATGGTATTTTGGCTGCATGAGGCAAAGTCTGGTTAAAATTGTACCCATTTCCATGGCTGATTCTTTAACAAGCTTAGAAAACATCACATATAAAGCACATCTGTTTATTTTGTGATTCGATACAAAATGATTAGCTGGTGGCCATGCTGTTTTTTCATTGTGATGTATTCTCAACCATCTCTTGAATGTGCTTTTTTTAAAAGTTTTCTTTACTTTATGATTCACACAGTCACTAAAACCTGAACTGAGACTTGTGTCTTATTTCATTCAAGTAACTTAGCCTTGATTTTCTTGTCTGAAAAATGACCCTCCAATTACATTTGAATATTTCAGGAGAAAATTGATGACATGGAGATGGATGAAGACAAGAAAAATTTAATATCACGTGAAATCCGTACATTTCGGGATTCACATAAGGTATGCTTATACTTATCAATTCCATAATATCTTGTTGGTGTGTCCCTTATAGTGTACCAGTACAACTATGTCAAACTCTGTCAAGAATCACTATCTTGTGTTACTTAAATTTACAATAATACAACAAGTTGTCATAGCTACCAAAATGTGTCTTTAATTCGAAATGATGAGAAATTTATTTGCAGTGAACAATTTATGGCCTTCATGAACTATTTAGAAAAATTAATCTGTGCAACCTGGAGCTTTTGATTCGTAGAGAAAAAAAATATAGGAATTATCTGTTATTATAATTTGGATCAAATCAGTGTGCTGTCGGTTTTAATACAACTGAAAGGCTGTGTAATCATTCACCAATTTAGCACATACCCAATTTTGTGACTGAAATTTACTTTTTTGCCCCCCAAATTAATGGGCCACTTCCCCAACTGTATATAATACACTAGATGTGTCGATGAGAAAACGAAGCGACAGCACCATAGCTGCTTTGCTGTATGCCTAAAGAGGAAAATATTAAGGTGGTGAGTACAACATCTTGGTAGTTTATATATATATTTGTATATATACTATTAGTTGAGTATAAATGAAGCTGTTTATCATTAAGGTTAGTGATACAGAATTCACCCACACCTTTCTCTTTTTTAATTAAAGTATGCTAAAATAATCCAAAGTTTAAATTGTTAGAAATTGTTTTCACTGCCAACTGATTTTATATGAATATGTCCAAAGATTGTTGCTTGAACTGATGCCAAGTTGGATTGTTCTGTTGTCATCATTAAAGAACTGATGGAATGTTGGTATTTTGCGGTTGGTATATATATGTAATGATCTGATTGTAATTTTAAGGTGATTAAGTAACTGCACAGTATTACTTTTCTATGTAATTTTTTTATAAGGCATTTAAGTCTTGTCAGTAGGACATGAGAAAGAGTATTAAAAATTGGATAGTTCTTAGAAAAGCTCTCGTGTGTAAATTCAATGACTTGTGAAAATGGCATGCGATGAGTATGTGTAGTAAGTAAACATGAATGAATGAATGAAGTTAGTGTTCTTTCCTTTTCTCTTTGTCTTTACACATTACACACAAAGCAATCATAACACGCTGTATGTAGTTGTGTAACTACCATCTATATTAATTGAGGTACGTGTTTCATTTACTATATAAGTATGGTTCAATTAACCTTTGAGATGATAAAGATTTTGGTGAGTATGTTACATATTGTTTACTTATATTTCTCAGTCTCTATTGCCTTGAGGAGATTGCCTGATGCCTACATCCAGGGAGTCTGAAGTAGGGTTTGGGCTGGGGTGGGGTTGGGGGCGTTGGTGCGATTTGCTTGCTTGTCTTATTGTAGTTTACAACATGTATGATGTACCGGTAGTCTCCAAACACCAAAGTTCTTCCATTATTATAAGCTCTACACAAACTGATAGAAAAGCAATTTTCTGCACATTCCTTGATCTTGTATATTGATCATAATTTCATCACTTGTAGCAGTATTCTATCTGTGCGCAATAATATTTTTCAAAATCAGAGAAATTGAATATGATATGAACTTATTTAATTTTGTTCTGCTAACATCATGTACTGTAGTTTGAATATTATAAAATGTACCTGAATTGATGAATGTTGACCTACTGTAAATACAGTGCAGAGTTCACCACTGCATTGTCTGGAGTATGTACAGTATTAGTTATTTTGATCTAGCACAATGGTCAATTCTGTTATAAAATATAACAATTAATTTTTAATTTTTTTATTAAATTGCAATGGTAAACAAAGGCATCAGGCACTCAAACACATTTGTAACTATTTGTACCTCAGATACCAGCCACACCCTGATGCACTGGTCTTTCCTTTATTATACAGGACATTGTATACTGTTAACCACACGATTTCTGCTTTAGGAATTTTCACAATTTTATAGCATTTTCACTTTTCACAATTTTTCATGTCTCACAAATTCTGTATTTTTCATGTGGTGCAAATTTAAGTTTGATTGTACTAAGTTTTTTTGTGTGTCTTTGATAACAAGCCTCACATACCAGTTACAGTCATAACTAAAACAAAATTAGGGTTAGGAATCTGAGCTGCAATAGTTAGACATGTGTTTTCGTTGGCAACTTTGCACACATGGTCGAACCAGCTCTAGCAGGTAATAATGTGCATTTCTATGAGATATGAATATGTTTGATAATTAATATATTTATAATGACATAACTTTTATCTACAGCATTCTATTGTATGATTATTGCAAACATCACTTGATGTTTTTAAATTTGAGTTTTAAAGACCTACCTCGGTCTTCATTGTGACTGCCAGTAGAACCAGAGCCATATCAAGGAACAAACATTTAGATATATACATGTTGCTGCTTATCTATGCATCAGTATCGCATCTTGTAGTGATTGCTATATCATTTTCACTTGTCTCTGTCCTCACTAATTCTGGCGGAACTTTAGACAAGGTGTACATGATAATCAATTTTTAATTTCATTATTGTGAAATATTTATCCATAGACGATGATATTATGTGGATTCCTTCTACCGGATTCGGCTGATACCCCGCCCATCCTAAACCCTGCCCATGTTTCAAATAGTGGGCGATGTTTTGGTCCACACATTGCCTGACTGAACCAACAAACATTTTTACAGACCCCAATTTTCCCGTCCGACATCTTGTATCGAGCGCGCTATTTCAAATATGACGCTAAAATAATTCACTGTGAAGCTGAAAAGCATTAAAAACTTCAATAAAACCAATGCTGTAAACGAATTGTTGTTGCGTATTATTACACTCGAATAAAGTCTACGCTTGAAAAGAATGTTATTTACGAAGTTTAAAATATCCAAGCCTTCCTTGTTCGAGCCTCTTGGTTGTTATCAGTAAGATTAGTCTGTATCGCATTCCAGACAAAATGTCGGTAAACAAGGAATGGGCGAACTAAAATGTCTCCTGCGTTTCACATGCAACATGATTATTAAAAAACACGGAGTTAAGCGATCATGTAAGTTCTATAAAGCTAACCTTGTACACATAATCTTGTACTGGCGTGTTTTTTCTCCAAAAAAGACGTTCTCTTTCAGTTAACCCCCAGTTAGCTCTTCGTGTTCATGGTATTTGTGAGAGTTGAAAGATTTTTTGAACACATGACAAGTAACTATATTGATTTGCGTCAAGCTGGGTGGCCCGAATTTAAATATCAGTGCGTGAACTCAAACGCGTGGTTTTTAGAGTTCAGTCGAAATGTACGTGAATATTGCGATCGAAGTGCGCTGTCCAGAGTTTATTATATTATAGTAAAATGTAACTTGACGCATGGTATGGTTTATATTACATGTTCACTTCATTTCGAATAAAAAAATCACCATTGGAACATCGATGAATCACAAGTAAAATATTTTCTCGACTTTCCGTAGATACCCGACTACTATCATTTTTAATGATTTAAATGCGCCAATGTTTATGTTTGCGTAATTATTACGAATGCAACGCATTATCAAGTCGGTAATATTGAAATATTCACAGACCCAATACCCCGGGTCAGTGACCTAACAATAGTAAAAATTAACTTGAGTTTGCGTAATTATCATGAAAGCAATACATTTAATACAAAGTTGAAATATTCAGAGCTGGTACAATATTGTAATCAAATTTGCGTAATTAGAAAAGCAGTGCACTAAGTAAATGACGTTGATATATTCAAAGCCAGTACAGAGTTGCATACAAGTTGCGTAATTACAGTACCGTCGGATATAATAAAAATTTTACTAGATCGACACGCGGACCGCAAAAGAAAAAGGTTGCTAAGGTAACGCGCCAGTTCAGCGCGTGACTTGGGGTCAAACTTCGGTCAACACACACTTGATGCCAGCATCACCGCGCAGCAAGTACTTTAAGTTCAATTGCGTCCCAAAATTATGTCGCTAATCACTCAGTTGTCGCAGCGTGTGTTGTGTCATGTCCATGATGCACCCCGTTTCGACTTTGACTTGCTTTTTCTTCTTAGTGCATGTTCTTGTTCACGTAAAATGCGACCTCTCACCAATGTATTAAAACACTTTGAATTTATACTTTGCATGATTATATTTGGTCAACGCGAAACATTATTTTTTCTAGACCATTTCTATCAACGCAGGGTTATTTTTTTAGACAAGATGGGCCTCGTAATATCTGCCCGGGCGATCTTTGGTCCACATTTTTCTTTAAAAAAATCGAATCCTCCATAAGATCGCCCAGGGCGGGGTATCAGCCGAATCCGGTAGTTAAAAATCAACAGTTTTTTCAATCTACCACAGTGCTGTTTAATCGTTTCAGTCTCAAAACTGCAATTGTGGGGTTGTAATGGTGATTTGCATATATAACCTCCTGTGTACATAGACTTTAATGTGCACTTGACAAATATTCCTTTGTAAACTAAAAACCAGTTCTCTCCATAAGCCAAACATCGTTGAACGCCGAATTTCAAGACTTGATCTGTACAATGTCACTACAATCATGAAGACGTGGGAAGCGTGAGTCTACTCTGGAACCTGGCAAAAGTAGTACCCAAGTTTTAATGTCAGAATTTCATGTCAGTTATTCATTTTGAACATGTGACTCAACTCAATGAATGTTTTGGTTCAATGAAAGTTGTCATCTCTTGCAGATTTCTCTTTTTGCTATTATCACTTGAATATCATATATGTATTTATAATATGCATGTTTATACGTACCTGTTGAACCAACCAACTTTGATTATTACAATCCACTACAAATCAGTCTGTTCAGCTTTTCATGTATGGCTACCGTAATGGAGTGTACAACTTACTATGTGACAGGATTTAATAACTCTCTCCTCTGGTTGGTTAAATATCCATGACAAATGCAATATTTGTTTACTTTTTTATTCAGTCCAAGGATTAATATTCATCTATTGCCTTTTGTTTTCTCTTACCACATAGAATGAAGATGAGAGGGAAAAAGAAAGAGAAAGGGAACGAGAGCGTGAAAGAGAGCGTCGAGAACGAGAAAGACGTGAACGGGAAAAAACTATTGAAAAGGCCAGAGAAAGAGAAAGGCTACGGGACAAACCAAAAAAAAGGGAAAAGGATAAGATCTCTGAAAGGTAATCTATAATTTTGTATTGTCAATTTGTTTTGCATTTTGATGACCTTTGACCGACTAGTGGCAATATTTGTCCCACATTTTTGTTCTGCATGTTTTGTTTTTGACTCCCGTGTGCGAAGCACAAAAAGGGAGTCTTTGCAGTTAGTGTGTCTGTATGTGTGTATGTGTGTGTGTGTGTGTGTGTGTATGTGTGTCCGTCTGTTCCACTGATATCTCAAGAACCATACATCAGTTTTTGATGAAACTTGGTGCATAGATGCTCTGGGCCAATGCGCAGATTTGATTAGGTTTTGGTAAAAATCCATGCATATTAATTACCTAATTTGCATGATAATTAGCTGATTTTTAGCTGTTTCATGACTGTTCCACTGATATCTAAAGAACCACTCATTGGATTTTGATGAAACTTGGCACACAGATGCTCCAAACTAATGCGCAGATTTAATTAGTTTTGGGTAAAAATCTGTGCAATATTAATTACCTAATTTGCATAATGATTAATCAATTTTCGGCTTTTCCACTGATATCTCAAGTACTAATCATCACATTTCAATAA